CTCCAGTCTATTTAGAAAGTATCATGGGTTTCTTCGGCAAACTCCATTCTTTTCTCTACCTTTCTCCAGGCTTTCTTTCCTCTTTGGTCTCTAAACAGAATGGTCTGTGATTAAACTTAAGTTCCTTTGATTTATAAATTGCTTCTTTTGGGCTAATTGTACTTTAGTAATTCTACAATCTATTGGGCATTTCAAAACATGACTGTGGCCTCTCATCCACTCTATTAGGGCAATGCTGATGGAGGAGACAAACAATACAGGAAAGAACAAGTGCTAAAAACATGTTTCTTCAATATGCTGGAAAACGAGGGGAACTCTGAAGAGAAATCTGATTGTAATGAATGTAATGATTAAAACAAGCCATTGCATGGGTTTTGTTTGCTGGCTGGGTACACTTGGCTTTTGTAATCATAATTGTGCTGCTGTAATACAAAATAATTGTATTGTGTTTTGTTTTGGGGGGAAAATGGAAAATATTTGGCTTGCCGCCCTTTTGACTTGGCAGCCTTTCACTGACTGGTCTGAAATTATGTCTGACTTCAACAGCAGACCATAGTTCTGCATTCATTTCCAGTAGTTTTGCACTTAGTGCCATCCATATCTGTGTTTTACAAGTGTGAATTTTCACCTCCATGGAAGACTTTCCATTATTCCCATTTCGCAAATGCAAGAATCGAAGGCACAGACTCTTATTGGCTTCATAAGGATTTTGGAGCAGGTAAGGGCTAGAGCTACAAAGGAACTCAGGCACCAAAAATAAAACTTAAAGCATTTAGATGCCTAAGTCCAAAAGTGCACTCCTGAGAGCCTCCACTTCTCCTCTAGCTTTTCACTAGTAAAGTTCTCTCTAACATCCTGATTCTAGAAATGCTAGAAATGTCTCCATTGGTGCTGAGCAGTTCAGCACCTATCTCATGTCTAAACCCCTTGGCCTCAATAAACTAAGTGTGTCCCAGCTGACATCGCCATTAGACATGTTCAGGGTATGCCTAGTATGCATCTGCAGGGCTCTGTCCATTGCATGGAAGCATGCCAGGCACGTAAAAGATAGGCACTACAACATTCAGCGATGCAGTCCTAAAGCCGTGTGTGATTCTAGCCACGCGCTGACTCTGTAGCACAGAACAGCCAGGGGCCCGTGCCTTCATCAGCAGAACCATACTTTATTTTAATTTCTGTGGGTGAAATCCTGCTTTCCTGAAGTTAAAGTCAAGGTTCCCTTTGACTTCAGAAGCCTACGATTTCTCCCACAACGAACTCTTAGAGACTTAAAGCTTTGTATGTAATCCTTGAAGTTAAGGGGCGTTCCCCATTGAGTCAATGTATCTGTGCTCCAGCTCTGCCACTGGCTTGCTAACTGACCTTTGGCAAGTTCCTTCACCTCTTTGGATCTCCTAGCATTCCTCCCTAAAAATTGGGCTAAATCATGGTTTCAACTATCTGCAAAGTGACATTTTTCTCCAAGAGCTGATATTTCTCCCCAGGGTATTCTGCATTTTAGTTTTTACAAGCTCCTTTGAAGTCCTTGATGAAGAAGTATAGTGGTAGCTCTTGAAAGCTTGCTGTGGTTTACCTAAGATAAATATATAAGATTATCTCAATATTTGCAATATTCCCTTGTCCAGGTACAAGCTAAAGGCACTACCTTTAATACTGCAAATACTAAGGTTATCAAACTACAAATACTTTTCAGTTAGTAGCAACGTCAATTGGAAAAGCTTCAAGAGCCACTACTGTAGTGCAAAAGTGAAGGATATTCGTGTTTTTTTCCGATGACATTTCGCCAGTGAAGATCATATCTCGCACCTTATACTAAGGGACTATGTTAAATCCCAGAGAAACAGCCTGGCTACACAAAAAAACAGTGCTTAGAATTTTCAAAATCTGCAAGTCCTAGTTTCAAAAGTTAATTAGGTGCTTAGGAATCATTTGAAAGTGGGATTTAGATTTAGGTTCCTCAGTTCTTAAGTCAAAAGTGCTTTGGCATTTTTTACCCATCACTTGCATTTTCACATGGGTTGTAAAACAAAATTAGAAGTGAGGAAGGGTGTATAACATGGGGGGAATGAAACCAGTCTAATGCTATCTTGACTTGAGGACAGTTTGATGAACTCTTCACATGAGAATAGGTGAATCTGCAGTATGAATAGTGTTGAAGATACAGTAGGAAACCAGCTCAGTAGCCCTGTTCGAGGGCTGTACAATTGCATGTTTGCATAAATGATATAGTGTAACTAATGCCATTTCCTCCACATTTAGAAATGAACTTCAAATCATTAGGACCATCTTCTACCACAGCAATGTAGAATATTTCTGATGCAGAGCAATTATAAGACAAGAAAGGGCTAAATATTCACCAGAGAAAATTGTGTGTCCTTGGGGAGACACTAGGATTACACCCCCCCACCCTCACCCCCATTGTATTTCAGGAGTCTGAGAAGGATTATTAAGGGGAAGCATAATACCCTGGTGCTTAATCGAGGATGCCCGTGTGAGTTGTTTCGCTGTATCCTCCTAAATTGCGCAATCAAATAAAATGCACATTTAACGGGCAGCTTATTAGATGCACAAGCTGGGACACATTTATCCCACATCTAACTCCACTGACTTCTACAAGAAGGGACAGGACCCAGGGTGCTTGAACCAACTCTGCCTCTTGCTCTGATTATTTTCTTTTCTCTTACACCATAAGTCGCAAAGGGCAGATAGTGCAGGGGACATGCTACAAAGCAGCAGTGTCTGTAAGGCTATATACATGGAAGCGAAGCTGTAGTTAGAATGAAGGTAGCTCTAGTCGCTTAGGGCTCTCTCACATTCATGTGGGGAAAAGCATTTATTGTCTCCCCTGCTCCCTTCCTGGGTCCCTCTGTCTGGTCTTTAATTAGGTATTTTTTGGCTCAGGTGTGGGAGAGGGGATGCTCTTGTGGACCCTGGTGATTGCCTGTGATAGCCGGGAGCTGGACTCAGCAGCCCGGGGAGTCCATTCCAGTCCTAATGAAAAGTTCCTGTGTTGCATTGTTCCAGAAAGAGAGTGCTGCGCAGGGCTCGGGCTCTACCAGATCTGCTCTTAGCTAATAAGCCATACCGAGGAGGCTGTATCCCTCAGAAGGAGCTGGGATCACATTTGCCAGAATGTCTGTTCTCACTCTGCCTTTCTCTTCAAGGTGTTTCTCTCCCGCCACCCTTGGGAAACCCACTCCCCTGCTTTTCCGCCAGGCCCCCGGAGCCCTCATACACCTGGGGAAGCTCCCCTTCCTTGGGTCCAGGTAGGTTTCACACGTAACCATCTGCTTGAGGAAGACTTTATAATAACACATCATTAAGCATTGATTTAAAGACAATCATCTTCCCTCTCTTTAATTTCACAGCACCTTTAAAACAGCTGCTAGGCTGCAGCAGGGACGATCAGCCAGACAGGAAACACATTGTTAGCTGCTCGCATTAAAACAGTAGAATGCATTAATTTATGAGCTCCTACTCGCTCTCCAAACGTTTTATTATGTTAATATCACCTTGATGTGTTGCGTAGGCCCTTGTGCCAAAGCCTCATTCGCACAGTATGTGCCATCCTAAATTACAGGCTGGATCCATCCTGGAGCTGCCTTTGGAAAACTGGAGTAAACCATAAAGCACTAAAGTTAATATTATCTTACAGACTAACAACCAGTTAATACTCGACATGTGAATTCCATTTACTTCTTCTCTATATAACAAATAGCAAGTGTGGGATTGGACTGGTTCTGATTTTATGCAATTTATCTTCTTGATCCATTCCATATTCAGACACACATCCTTTATTTTTCAGCTATAGTTATACCCTGTGAAGTCAGAGCCCCTTAAACTTGGGAACAGCCAAGAGACACCCCGGCTTAAATTTTAAACGGTCCCTGCCCTGTCAGTGTCTCTTGGCAGCACAGGGATGCCACTGGAACGCCTTGGGTTTTTGCTATTTTTTTTTCTGCACATGTGGGGAAAGGCAGAAAGAAAGAAATCTTGGAACTGAAGTCGGTGAGCATGGAAACCCCTGAGAGTCGGCTGAACTATTGCAAAGGGTCGTAGGAAAATGGATGGAGAGATGGAGAGACAGATAGGCCAGATCATTCGATGGGTATAATTGTGCTTATTAATTTATTCTCTAACCCACAAAACACTCCCAGTGACGAAGGGTTCCTCTAAAGGCCAAGAATACAAAGGGTTCCTTCAATACTGTCCATTTTATCCTCTGGCTGATAGTATTTCTTGCTCGCACTTTGGTTTGGGCTCCAGCCTCATCGTGTGAATGCCACAAGCTTTCAGCCCCAGTAGCAAATCTGCCCGGCTACCAGGCTTTACCTGCAAAATACCAGCTCTGACTTTCTACCAAATATTCTGCCCCGAGTCCTTGGCCTTCTTGCACTCAGCCTGATTAGCTCCAGCCCCGGGTTCACTTAGGAGTTCATTGCAACAACAAAGTGGTTAAAATCCCAGGTTTTTCCAGGGGCTTTTCCTTAAAAGAAAAAAAAAAGTTGGTAACCCCTCCCCCACCCTCCCAAAAAAGGCCAAGGGAAATGAACTCTAATTGTGTCCCTTTTCCTGGCACCCGGGTCCTGTGAACTGCAGGCCTGGCGGGGAACACTGCATGCCTTCAGTAACGTGCACACACCTCTGGCCCAGTGATATCTTCTAATCCTGACTTCAACCCAAGGGCAAGCAGAAGTCCCCCCCCAGCTCCTACCCAGGAGAGAGGAGCACAGACCAGGAAAATCAGAGGCCTTTTCTTCCCCTCCTCTCCCACTGCTTGCAAATCCCTAGCCTCCGAGGCCTTCCCCTGCAGGTTGAGCCTGTCTCCTGCCTATGGAGCGATTCAAGGGCAGGTAAGGCCGGCTCCAGCCACTGGGGAGCAGGCCTGGGAGCAGGGAACCAGCCGCCTCCTGCCAGGGGGATCCTAGCAGAAGGGGCAAAAAGGAGGCGCTGCCCCCCGGGCCGGGCTCGGGGGCCTTCCCCGCTCCCCGGGCCGGGCGATGCAAGGCGCTGGGGGCCAGGGGAGCCCCCACCTCTCTCCACCCCGCTGTGCCCCCAGCAGGAGGCGCTGCGCGGCGGCGGT